CAGCCACAACAAACTCGTAACATTATGAGTGCTTCTTATAAGAGGCATTATGATTATTGCATCACAAATACTTTAACTACTCCCGTCACGGTAAGCTGAGAAAATCGAGAAACTTCTAGCTGTCTCTCTCTCACACACACAAATATTCGTACGTGGATACCAATAATCTGTCATTAGTACGATCCTGATTAGTTCCATTAGTACTAACTAGTGCCCTAAGATTTACCTTAATGTTATCGTCCGATGTTAATCTCGGTCTTACAAGTAGCGTGTTCTCTCCCTCTAAGAGCTTTCCCAACAAAAAATTCGTCTTTCCTTTCTCACCATCCTTGCTGCATAACCAACATAACGCAACCATCTCGATACTACAGATCTAACATCAGGTGACGAAGTTCGTCGGAAGTATTGTCCTCAGTTCCCTAATTACTTCAGCCCTCTTAGGCCCATATATTATATAACGCGCCTGTGTGAATTGAAGACTTAGATGTCTCAGACACTGAGGCAGAATTATAAATGACGGGTGCTTTAACACAGGATGATACTGACTTCTAGGATTAACACCCCAAAACATGGGTACTGAAATAAGAATGTTAATTACAGATTTCAATTTGTGCAACTAGACGAACAAATAAATGCAGAGAGCTGACTTGCTATCGTTAGCCACGACGTAAAACGCCAATACCTGTTTCTCAGTGCAATTCCCCTTCCCCGTTTTAACTTTACATCCAATTTCTTATTCCCCTGAATAGTAATGCTTTGACTTGAGTTGCGTGTTTCGACGTCACAGTAGCATCGATTTTATATTCCACCTTGGGACACGGTTTTCCACCACCTCTGAATTTCTCGCCTTACCTTCCTCTTTGATGTATCAATGAGTCACCATGTAAATGTAAATGGTGAATGGAACAGAAGCAGCCGAAATAAAGAGGGTTCATTTTTTAAAGTGATTTTTGTTGTATGAATTTTAAAAGTGATTTTTTTTGTATGAATATGAGACTTGTCACCTGCAACAGATCAATGGAAAACGATATAATTACTGAAACCGGCTTTCATTTGGGACGACGGAGGGAGACAGTCAAATCTGAGGTTAGGTATCATGTCTCGGAAATTCGGAGTTTCCTTCTACACCTACCACAGTCACTATAAACCTCAGACTCGACAGCAACACGTAGGCAAATAATATTCCTGTGTAAATGGTTTAGCACCAGTTTCGAACACAATACGGATCATAAAACAACAAAATCACAAACAAAAATGGCGGTTCTTTTAAGCAGGCAGACACACAGTCAACATTTTCGTAATGTATTAAATGCGTGAAAATTGTTCTTCCATTTCGCGGTGTGCGTCTGTGTTTATACGGTACAGTTCACTTCCCATTATCTAGCGCCATCTTGTTAAGCAGTTAATCAATTAATACATAATTCACGGAGCCACTAGAATTACCAGCTGCTCTGTGCCAGTCTCTGTAAGGAAAACATACACACTTCTCCAAGAAAATATCGCGCCATCAACGAGACAAATGACATAACAATTTAGAAACTCATTGTATGGCATGTAAAACTGTTTCCACAAGTTGTCAAGCGTATCTAGAAATATCAATACCATGCGTGTGCAAATGGGTATGGAGATAAATCATAACAAGCCTAAAAATCTTATTATACCTCATTTGTCAAAATTTATATAAGTAGGCCCATGGTACCGATGTGAACCTCCAGCGCTATGAATATGGCTGTCTTCTGGGCTAAAGCGCCGTATATTCAGTCTAATAGACGTTTACCATCGTTTCAGAGTTCCTCGTTACCTTCATCAACAGGGCGATGGAGGCAGCAAGGACCTCTGACACGTTATTAAACTTCTACCAGAATATATGGCACTACAACCCAGAAGACAGCCATATTCGTACTCACAGCCGCGAGAACATCAAATTCTACCTCCAGCGCTAAATCTGATAACTTTCATATGATGAAAATGTATAGTTAATATAGATCCCTCAACTGCATATTGCAAATTTAATTTGAAGACATATAGTACGTAAAACGGAATTCCTCTACTGGCGAAAATATTCAACTCCCATCTCGATTAATATTATCGATACAGTTTCTCAGTATCTAAATTTACGACAATTCGCGCAAGTTAAAAAATCCACACACAGGGTTTGAACTCAAAAATAACAAATAATAACCTTTTCCGCTGCTGCTGTTAAAGTATTTTGGGCCTTATATATTAATATTTATGAATGTGTGTGTTTTCATTACAGTTACCATTGTAACCGTTAAGGGATTTTGGTCTTTATGGGATAATATTATTACAGTTGCCATGGTAATGCTGTTTTGGGAGCCCCGCTATGAGCACGTATTACAACACAGCACAGTTATTATACATAACCTCAATATAAGATCATATTTAAGACTGCGGTATATAAAATTGGATTATATTATTGAATTAAGCACTGGTAGGTAATGTGATTTTTGTTTCATACCACTTAGTTTTAATTCTGATACGCTGCTTTGTGGGGGAAAAATACAATGAAACAAAGACCTTTCATTCGTCCATGGTCTACTAGGACCTACATATACAAAAAACAGCAAGACAGTTTCCTACGTGTTAACGCTTCGCAGCTTTCGTAATTAAGGACAGATAACTGATTATTTCTAATTTTTATTCGCTGTTTTCTTACAGTCTTTAATACAAATGTGTTTTAAGTACTACAATATTTTAGATTTGCCGTCATTCTTGACGGTAAAATTTCTAATCTCTACATGACTTATTACGTTTGCGAAATGGCACTTTTCAAATTGGTATTACTTGTTCTACGGCTGATTAACATTCACATTCTGCATTTAAAGCTATTTGTCCGGGTGAATTTAAAATTGTTTACTGACAACCGACTCACGAAATAGTTTTATGCCCGGGAATTCTCGTTACGAATACCGAACACTAAAAATGCAGTGCGCATTTTTATTTGAGTAATTTTGTTTCCCTTCCAAAACTAAAGCAAAATCTCTGATTCAAGACTGGCACGCAAATTCGACATAAATATCGACAATTGCGTCTTGCTCTCGGCCGTGTGCCAACTCGGGCCATTTAGCAGTCCGATGAGATTGTCTTGTGAAGTCATTAGCGTTGGCTGCGTCATATTGTGAACACAGAAAAGAGGCTACGTTCCAAGGAAATGCAGAACTATTCACTGTATCACGCGCAAATTAGTGTGATTTAAGATCTCTTCATCACAAAGATATGTCTGAATTCACTCCGACTGATTAAATAAATATAAAAAAATACCTACGAAAGTCTTTCTTGGAACGTCAAATATCTAGTCAATTTATAACTTCAATCAATAATAAACCTAAATTAGTGTATTTAAAACTAATAAATATTTTCGTATACTTTTAAAAATAGTTCCGTAAAAAATTTGTGGTAAGAATAAATTTCTGGACTTAAATCGAAAAATAAAACGACAAAAGGCATAGTTTTCAAAGAAACAAGTCAAAGCACAGAGGAGTCCTGGCCGAAATATCGGCGGGTCTTTTAGACACGGTCGTAATGGTGATCCAAATCGAAAGAAACGACCCGCGAGAGTGGACTGTAGTGCCCACACCAAGAGTCCTCAAGAATATCTTGATAAAGAATTGCAGATGCTACCACAACAGTTGTAAACGGAACGATCCAGTTCGTCGATTCGGGTCGGAAATGGTACAAATGCTTGTGGGGGTACACGGGACCGACTAAACCGCCCAGTGGGGATTCAAACCGATTTGACAAAACCAACCAGTTTTGGAAGATAAAACGAACACAGAAAAACTTTCAAATCTGATCAATTTCTCCACCATGAAACCTCCATCTTCTGGACCCGTTCGTTCGCGAACGACGCACGTCCAGTGACTAAACTTGTATTTTGTTTAGACGCCAAGCCTTACGTCTACGTCGGCGAAAATGCGTACGTTTAAAGGTGTTTGAAACGCAGTACAATGTTCTGAAGATAAATCGGAACAGCTGTCAACAAAACATTGAATTTGTCATTTTGACTCATGTCTGAAAGCGTCATATCTCCGAATCGAAGAACAAGGAACTTTAAAATGTAATGGGCGTCTGAAAGATAATATTCTACTGCTCCAAATGAAAAAAAAATTGCATATCAACAGCACTATCAACTCGACGGTCGAGGACGCTCCCTGATCTCAAAGCTTCCATCACTATAGTTCCATATTTACAGTACACGGCATCGTTAATTGATTAGGTTCGGTTCCTAAGTACACAATGACACGCATTAAAGCAAGCATATGACAGACAATGGATGAGTTAACTTCCATAATTCTTCTATTTAAAATACGCCATATCAAAGAGTAATTTACATGATTGATTGACGTCATTAAGGGTATAAAATTCAAGCCACGACTAAGGAATGAAGGGAGACGGACAATTCTCGGTTTATCAGTGATATATGGAGCTGTGATGAGAAATCGCTAAGTTTGTGGATACGTTCTGCATAGTAGGAGGAGTAAGGGGATATTAGCATGACAACATGTCGCCGTTCGCACATTCCAAGCAGTTCCGTGATCTTGGTAAGAACGTGTTTCAACTTCACTGCTGTACTTTGCAACTGCTACACGCAGGAAGTTATAACATAAACATGCTTTCTGCGGAACACTTATTCTGCCCCTGCCTAAGACACCCCACACGACGTGGTGACGAACAGCCCTGCACTATGCGAGAGATAAGGTTTCTTCGGCAGAGAGTTTTTCTGGAACATATGCCTTTAATGAAGTTCTCACGGCAACGAGAATGGAGATGACTGTCTTATGGGATGCAATACCGTGTAGTCTGGCTGAAATTAAAGGACGTTTCAGAGGAGGCAGTAATCTGCTCTGAAACGTCGGTCGATGACTAGCACATGGCATCCCAGAAGAGAGCCATCTTTACCTTCCTTGTGTCTTTAAAATGCACATAGTGTATTAATATCCTGACGCTACATCGTCAATCAATATGTGACAGGCACTTACCTAGATTTCTGGCGACAGCAATGACCGTGGTGAGACCCAGAAGCAGCAGAAGTGTAGTGTACTGGGAGGTGTGCAGCTCCATGTCGGCTGCCTTCGTCACCGCCCTGCCTCCACTCACAGCTCCCCTATGAACGGAAAAGAAACATCGAATTGTACATCTTCATCAACATTTCCGCGGTCACTGTGCAGATATCTGAGTCTGTGTATGGTGTCTGACATCGGGACACTACCACGCCTCTGAACGATAGTGCGAATCGAACTGATAAAACATCTTTTGACAAAAATGTGAACTACAATTCTAATACCACTTTTAGGGCAGTGCTATTCAACCTTTTTTGTTCGCGTACCCCCAAAGTTGTTGGTGTATAATTCAAGTTACAAATAGTATATAATCTACATCTAAAATAAATTACATAAATTATATTACTGATTGTTCAGTGTTTATCTTTTTTTTTTTCATTTCACGTACCCCCTAAGATGTCTTCGCGTACCCCAGGTTGAAAACCACTGTTCTAGGGTGTTGCACCGTGTTGTATGCTAAATACGCACCACGTTTCAGAAGAGATCACAACCTCTATCACAGTGACGATGAGAAAACATCGACATCATGATGGATGCAGTAAGAACCTCTGAAATGTCGGCCAATATCTACGGTACTGCACAGTGCAACATCCCCGAAGACAGCCGAGTTCATATTTGTCGCCGTGAGAACCTGATATCTTCACAAATTCGAAGTCTTCGTCAACAGATGGCATTAATACCTTGACACAAATACATCGCCCTAGAGAGCAAGAATTGTCATATTTTCAATTAACTGGCCATGACATTCGTAGCGCGCAGGAAATAAGATTTCTTCGCTAAGATCAGTGTGGAACACCATGCAGAAACGCAAATAGCTACTTGAACGAGAATGTAGTAAGACATTTGTTTTGTTTTTTTTAATTTAAATATGTTGTAAAATCCTGGCGCTTGGGGAGGGGGGACAGCAAAGTGAAAGGGTTAAAACTCACTGCGTGAACTTCACATTAAAACCCTCAATAAACTCGGACAAAGCAAGAAGTGTATAGGACAAAGTACTTAGGTCACCGATCATGCAGTGTAATATAACTTCTGGTATTATGAAATCAGCTGAAATGTAATTATTTACAAGTTTGTGAAAACAGCTGATTCATTGTGGCAGGCAACAGCTGATTCATTGTGGCAGTAATTCGTTCAAAATTAAATCATATATAAATATTTGTAAAAGTACGTAATTACATGTAAGATTTGAGGTTTTCACAGGGGTGAGTATAACGATTTCTGTCTTCTGGGTTGTTGCGCCGTGTAGTCTGGTCGATGTTAACCAATGTTTCAGAGGTCATACTGCCTCCGTCATCAGGGCGATGAGTATGAAGATTTCTGTCTTCTGGGTTGTTGCGCCGTGTAGTCTGGTCGATGTTAACCAATGTTTCAGAGGTCATACTGCACAGCGCAACAACCCAGAAGACAGAAATCTTCATACGTAATTACAGTTGACTGTCATACATTCACTGAACCATTTACTCCCCTATCTGTATTAGCGCCGGAACATAAACAAATAATGAATTGTTAAGGACAGGGACTATTACAGCATTTTACCGCGATGACTGACGTCACGAATCACCTGTCAACACATTCTGGATCTCGGTATCGGGATTCAAATCTCGAACCTTCTCCAAACGAAGCAATAGCATTGACCACTACGCTGCAACGCTCAGTACAGGCCTATAATTTTTATTCGCATTACGTTGTATCGAAGACGCACGAGTAAATGATTAACAAATATGTACTAAAACTACCGATTACAGAACAAGTTTCGCCGCATATTTTTCAGTGTGTATCAGGCTTAGACGTAATTTAATTAAAAGTGTATTTCTGTAACCATCGACATTCATCGACTCGCATACCTATAACACTTACACAGTACGTGACACTGACGCTTTAAAGCCGCGTATTTTCAACCTTAATTACCTAGTTTCCAGACAAGCCAGTGCTGGAAGAACGTTTCTGTCTACGTGTAATATGCTTAAAATTCTTTTATACACTCAAGCTAGTATAAAATTATATATTAGCATAAACAGTATACATTTCCAGTTCATATCTACCCATTTAACTAAATTACAAAATGTATATTTTAGTGCGATATAACCATCTATCCGACTAATAACTTACGCATTCAATGATACCATTCGGCACCATCTCAGCCAGCTATTTTATACCTTAAACGTGTTTCGGATCCATATTATTACAAGCATCTCACCTACTAGCAAATTTATTTAGTACTAACTTTCAAGTAAGTTTTCTACAAATATTTTTCATACAAGGTGCCAGAAGAAAAAAAGGTCTTCTTTGTCAGAGATATTCCGAAAAAGCTGCGAAAATCCAGACAGCTAGTTCATCACATTTTTTGGAACTTGTGAATTAATATTATACAAAGCAGAAATTAGTCAAATAAATCGATTGGAGAAAAATTTGGCCTACTGATCTCCAAGGACCGCGACAGTAGGGAAACATATAACACCCTCCCCAGAGTAATCAACTGAATTAGTTGAAGATTTCTGTCTTCTGGGTCGTTGCGCTTTGTAGTCTGGTCGATGTTAACCAACGCCCAGATGACGGAGGCAGTATGACCTCTGAAACGTTGGTAAACATCGACTAGACTACACAGCGCAACAACCCAGAAGACGGAAATCTTCATACTCTGATGACGGAGGCAGTATGACCTCTGAAACGTTGGTAAACATCGACTAGACTACACAGCGCAACAACCCAGAAGACGGAAATCTTCATACTCTGATGACGGAGGCAGTATGACCTCTGAAACGTTGGTAAACATCGACTAGACTACACAGCGCAACAACCCAGAAGACGGAAATCTTCTTACTCACAGCTGTGAAAACCTCAAATCTTACAACTGAATTATAACAGTTGCTACATTTCCCTTGATATTTTACCTCTAGTACGTTCCTTTGTTCTGAGCGTTTAACCGAAATTTGTTCTCCCAAAAAATTAAAAGACATTCCACACAAAGTAACCAATAGTCAGTTGTATTCAGTTCTAAAAGTCAATTTTAATATTTCTGTGAAGACGAATTCTGTGATAATTTGCTCTGACTGAAACGTTTGCAGGGAGTGGCGCAAACTTTGCGTTCATAACAACTTAGTACTTTGCCGTATTCCTTAATACTGCCGTGTTAAAATGTTCTTCAAACAATTTTAAAAGAATTATTTTACGAGTCTGTCCCCGACTTGACACAAGTTATTCAGATACTATGAATTACTTCTGTGCCGTGGCCACGATAAAGAAAAACGCTGTTTTAATTGCACTATCTGATGTTCCAGTCGTGTCCACTGCGTTGAGCACGAGGACAAACTGACAGAAATTGTGGGTCTGTATTACTGGAACAGCGTTAAGTCTGAAGTGAGATTAAGAGAATACGAGCGTAGCAATGCAACCGAAAAACATCGCTCGTTCAAATTCACACGCCCCTTTAAAGCCCAACGTTTCTCGGTCGATTAAATTAAATTCACAGCACATGCAGTTCACATCTAAAGAACACATGGCAATGTACGATGAAATTGGGCTATTTTAACCCTTTAAATCAGAGTTGTAAGTAAATGTACCAGCTGCTTTAACGACCAAAACTCTGAATTTTGTATATGTGTGTTTTGTGTCGTTCTCACTCTGTACACGGAATATTTCCTTAAACAGCATTAAAAAACTGGATGTCTACAATGGTGAAATGTTTTATTTGGTTTCTAAGAGGCGATTGACAAAATTATACAAGGGCCCTACACTATGTGTTAATCAATGCCTGCGTTTCAAGGAATGAAACTAAAAATCTGCAATTTTCATAAAGTACACTTCAAGGCCCAATAACACCCGCTCAACATTCCCATAACACATGAAGCAAAGCTGTTCAGCTGTGCAGACCTCCCACCGAGTGGAAGAAGGTTCAAGAATACCAGAAACAGTGTGGAATTCTATCTGGGGCTGGTTCTTCCAGCTCTGCCGGAGATTCCTACTTCCTGACTCATCAACATTCACTATACAGACTCAGTAGCCTATAACATTGTGTCGTTGTCTGTACGCGTGTTATCTCGGTTTATTTAACGACCCTCTGTCAATAAGCTGCTTCACAGAATCGAATGGTGTGTGAGTGATGAGGAATAAAACTGATACGGCTATCTTCTGGGTTGTTGCGCGGCGTAGTCTGGTGACGTTTACCACTGTTTCAGAGTTGCTTGCCGCCACTATCATCTGGGCGATGAGCAGGCTATGCGAGGGCTTACTCATCACCCTGATGACGGAAGCAACAATAGCCTCTGAAACGGCAGTAACTGTCTACCAACCTAGAAGCAGCCATCGCCTTTAAGGGTAAAAGACAGAAGTACAACGTAAAACGGTAATTTGCATCCACAGCAATAAAACATGGAAGCAATATACATTGTTTGTAATAAATAATCTAATTTGCTACCTACGGAATTTAAAAATACCGAAACAGCTTCAGCAGTCGATATGAATATGTTATCACTACAACGATGTCTTGGGTATGAACACGGAAGTCGATATCGATTGGCATCCTGTCGGACTTGAACCAATTACAGCCGTACCGTATCAAAAAAAATTGTGGTTGGGGGGGGATCCTCCAGTCACAACTATCTGGAAAATTTCCTTTCATTTCATCCCGATAATTTCAGGTCGTAAATGTTGCTTTGGATTACAGCGTACGTTTGGGAGAATCTGTTTTTGTCCGCCATTCCACTGCCAAAACAATGTGACCAACTGCACAGCACGCGCAAACTTCAAGCTGCTGTAGCCATCTCTGGTTTTATTTCTACGCATGCAGCACAAAAAAGGATTCGAACATTTCAAACGACTGTATCGACTAGAACAATCGCGACTCTGATTTCTGAGCTCAGTAGCATACTAGCTTATCCTTTCCACTCATTCAATCCTCTTATTTCCTTTCCCAACGTTTCTTCAGCTCTTTCTTTAAACATTCCATTGCTTCGTTATATGACATGCCTTTCAGTAAGCCCAGTTCTTTATATTCGTAGTCTAAAAAGAAACACGAAGATTATATTACTCTCCGGATGGGTTTCTT